ACAATATTAAGCAAGCTTGATAAAAAGCTTTCCTTACTTGGCTATGCTTTGCACACATAACAATGACACTAGCCAAACCTGTTAAAAAACAAAAATCATTCTCAGCAGCTGCACCTCTTACAAAAAAAGTCTGAAACTGAAAAGTGCACAGAATTATTCAATGACACAGTGTTCAGAAAGTGCATTGTCCTCTATTCTGCACTTTAGATGAATGACTGCTTAGGTGCCACTGGTGACGGCACTGTATCGATACTTTTAAAAATGAGTATTGTATCCGGACACAACGTTTCAGTATCGATACTTTTTTGAACATTGATACTTTTGACGACCCTAATATGTATTTGTTAAGCACTATGTGACCATATGTTCTGTTCTGGATACAGGAAGTCCTTTGAGTACGAAGACGCGTCCCGTCTAACAGCCCAGCAGGGTACTGTGGGAAATGGAGACATCCACCCTGACCTTTACCATGCCTACTCTGATGACAACATTTATGAAGACATTGTGTGTAAGCCAATTCCTTTTTTTAATATATATCTGCAAAGTTTAAAACAGCAGGGCAGGAAGTCATGGACTAGTGGGTGGCTGTCAGTGATTAGATGGTTATTTTTAGTATAAGCTTTCCTGGAACTCATGTGGTAATTTAACGATTTCTGACTTCTACTGAATGACGTTAAAATGCATCTCTTTTTTATAAGAATAAATATTTTTGATTTAGATTTTTGGCCTTTTCCACGATAACAGAAATATGCTTCTCAAAAAGTCACTTTTTCCTTTTTTTGTCTCACATAGATTTTATATTGTTCAAGATATTTAAATGTGTCATTTAGAAAAAGTAAAGGTTCAAAATAAAACATCTTTATTTGTTTGAGATTGTGTCTATCATCTTAAAGTATTTGTTTTATTGGCCAGATTCTAACCAGCTCCACTTAAATTGCTTTAAGGCCTGAGGTTGCAATCATTAAGTTTAAGGCCATTTTAATCTTGCACCTGCAGATGAGGGAACCAGGGATTACCCCTGTGACGACGTCAAGCTGTCCACCATGTGTCTTCCTGCAAGGCCCCCTCTTCCAAAGGTACGAAGAAGGATTTTTGATACCTTTTGGAGTTCTTTGTACCTTTTGGAGTTCTTTGTAAGAATATCCTAATTGGTATTTTTATCTGACACGTGTTCCTCTTAACACTCTTAGCAATGATATATAAGATAAAAGACACATTTTTTTTCCTTTGCAGGGCATGTTGTGCCCACAGGGTTTCTTTACGAGATTTCTTTTTTATTTATAAATACATGTCTAACTAGTCATGGATCTAAAGTCCTTAGTAAACTTTATGTTTTGTATTTTCATTTAGTTTTCCTGAATACTAAACTAACATTGCCATCTTTGTTTTGATATGACTTGTTGATAATTCAACATGTAGTATATTTAAAGGCCATCCCAGCTGTTTAAGAACAAACCTGCAGAAGAAGCTCTTCTGCTTCTTAACTCTTTATTTTCTGTGTTCTTTTAAAGCTTTGTCATATGAGGTTTCCCAGTTTTCCCTTATACTGTCTGTGTTTCTAATAGGTGAAAAATATTATCACTAGGGAAATATTTGTTTAAATAAAACAAATAAAAGAAAATAAAGTTTGCAGCATATTTACCGATAGTTGCTGATAGAATCACATTGAGAGTTAAGTTAACTCAGGGAATCTGATACCTGGGCTAAACATCTCTATTCATAATGGTTAGCTGTTTCTATGGGTAAGTTAAAATGGTTACTAGGCCTGAAAAATTTTATTGGATTAATCGTGATTAATTGATTATTGAAATAATCGTTAACTAATTTAGTAATCGATTTATCGTTTGCTGGAATATAAAGACTCTAAAACATGCCTTTAGCTGCCAGAGCGACCCACTCAACTTTGAATCAATCTGACTGGATGATCTGGTGAACTGAAAAGTGTCTTGAGATGGCATGTGCTGTGAATTGGAGCTTTATTAATAAACTGAACTGAACTGAACTTGGAGCAGAAAAAAAACTTTTTCGTCTGTCAATATGCTCTATCCAGAACTCCTCAAGTGGAAATGTTTTAGTTTTACCTGGTTTAAGTTTGTAAAAATCTTTGCAGAACCTGTTGCTATCCGATTATTAATCAATTAATTGAAAAAATAACCAACAGATTAATCATTTTGCAAAATGATCATTAGCAGCAGCCCTGTTAGTGTAACACTCCTTCCCTGATCACTTCAGGAGAAATGAATTGTCATAAACCTGAGTCCTAATTCCACATTTCCTGTTTCAGTTTCCTCCCAAACGTCAAACCGTGCAAGGATACGCAGGAAAGGTGGAGAAGAAAGTATCTCGGGCTTTTTCTGCATCCAAAGCCTCAACCTTTGCACAAGCTCCCAAACAAGCAACACCTCGAAATGCCAGCTCTCAGAAGGTCCACAGGACTCCTCAGGTAAAGCTTCCTATTTTCATCTACATACTTCAGCTGGGTAGGAAATATAAGGCGGTGAAACGTTGAGTCATGCTTTAACTGTCAGAGCATGGATGGGGCGGTAACTTGCTGGGCAGGAAGGAGAGGATGCTGAGAGAAACAGATAGAAGCGTTCTTCTGGCACACTTAGAGGGCACATTAAGGGGAACGCTAACCTGGAACTCATGGCTTTAGGAAGTTACTGGTCAGGGAAAAACTTTAACTGCAAGGTAATCTACCAAACATATGAAAAAGTTTGCGGCTGTCTGTCACTTTAACTGGTTTACTGTCTTGTTGGGTTGATACCAGTTGTTTCTTTTTTAGATCTTGTTTTAAAATATTTTCTGTTTGATTCCTTCAGAGACAGGAGATGAAAATGTGTAAAAAATATGACATAAAAATCGCTTTATTTCAGTTCTTGTAGATTTGATCATGTTTATTTCATTTAGAGCATTGATTCAGTAATGTCTCTCTCCTAAAATTGCATCTTCTGCCTTTAAACAGCAGCTCTCCTCTAAGGGAGCTGTTTCTACTTCCCTTTTCTGCTTCTCTTCTTCTAAAACTGTGGTAATGTAGATGGTAGATGTAGATAACTCACGCTTCTTTTCGTTCTTCTTCTATTTTGCAACAATAGGCCTCAGAAATGTGCAGTAGATGCATTTTACTCCACATTTAAAGTTGTGTTTTGGCATTGGGTTGTTTTATGTCCCATTCAGGGTTAAAAAAAACAACAACAAAAAAACGTTTAAAGTTCCCGCAATCCTTTTATGACTTTCTGTCTTTTTTAGTCATCATTCTTAGACAACCATTTATTTTTAGGTTTTTGAAGGTTATCATAAATGTATTCTTAAAATTATGGCAGTCTATGTCATGTAAGGAGTTATAGATTAAGATACTTTTAAATCGTGTTTATTTTCCTTTATCCTCATTTTTACAGCTACGTCTTTTGTGCGTTTTGCATCTTAGCTAACAATTTAAATAGAGGTGAAACAATTAATCGGATTAATCATGATTAATCGATTATTGAAATAATCGTTAAGTAATTTAGTACTCGATTAATCATTTGCTGGATTGTAGAGACTTTAAAACATACCTTTAACCGACAAAGCAACCCACTTAGAGCAATAACTATATCCAAATTGTAAAAAAAATATGTCAAAATTTTGCATTTAACATTAAAGTATGTTTTCGTCTGTCAATATTCTCTGTCCTCAAGTGGAAAAATTTTAGTTTCAGCTGATTTAATTGAATAAAACGTATTCTTTAAGGAACCTTCTTCTATCCGATTATTAAACAAAATAATTATTAGATTAATAAATTTGCAAAATAATCGTTAGTTGCAAGCCTAAATTCAAATGAGCTGAGATTTATCTAAGGTTAATGAGATTCTTTGTACTTTAATTCAACTGTAAAAATAGAGAAGTTAAATGGAAAATATAAATGAAAAGGAGCTTCATCCAAGAATTTACTTTTATTTATATTTAAGGGACTCCTCTCAGAAGGTGTTACCAGAGGAATTATTGCTTTTTTCAGCTTGTATTCAGAAGCTTAGACAGTATTATCCTTCTCGGTGGTGATGAGGCTGCGAATTAGATGTCTGTTTGTACTTCTTTACAGTATATCGCCAAGATCGAGACCATTTTTGATGACAAACGAGGGAGGAAGAGAGTGAAGAACCAGGGACCTTTAGCACGAGGTAAGACACCAAAACACACACAAAATCAGATCATCAACAACTTTAAAAACAAGATTGTCGGTTGAAATAAAAACAGCTTTTGATAACACACTTAGTTAAGCACAGCTGTTAGAGGCTGCACCAATGATTATAAAAGAATGGTTTCCTGTCTACATGTGGTTATGGCTTCTCAAGGCTTTTTCCTCCCTCTACTGCTCACTAATGTCTCTTACTCACGGCAGATGAGACCAGTGGGACTGAGAGCGACCCCGAGGACAACACTGAAGGTATCCACTCAAAATGAACCTGCGGTTTGCTTTAATAACATTTATCCAAGGTAAAACATAAAGCTAATCGTCTAGAGGTCAAAATTTGTTACGGAAACCCAGAGTCTGCGTAGCATCAGGAATGTGAGCAGCTTCCTTCTTTAATGGAGTGCCCCTTTGTTGCAGATTAGCATTCTGGAACATTACCACACTATCCCCCCATGTGTTTGGCAGGTTCCAGAAGATCCGTTTACATCCAGTCCACGCTGAGACGGCGGCCGGGATACCGCACCCTGGAGAGAGACCTGATTCAGCTGCAGCAGCAGAAGCAGCAGCTTTTCCAGATCTTCGTGGTGGTGTCGCTCAGAAAAAGCTCCACAGGAAACACTTACTCCCCAGAAATTACTCAGCAGTTCCCAAAATTGGTTAGAATGAGCCTTTAACAGTAACATTACTCAATGCTGCTCCTCTGTTAGCATGTTGTTAACATTTAAGGACATTTTGTTTTGTTGTCGATGAGGGAATTTCCCAGGTTGGCCTTATTATTTATATTAATGTTAAAATGAAATACAAATATTTCTAAAACTCTTAATTGATCTTAGTTTAGTAAGAGAGCAAACATTTAGATGAATAGCTCTGATCGGTATGGTTTGAAATTGCTTTGAACAAGTGAATTGGGAGTTATTTCTGTCTTTAGTTTGTAAAATAATTGAATGATGATCAGCAGCAGCTTTAGTTACAGACTGTTCTTCTTTTTCAGTTCGAGAAGTCGTCCCGTCCGTCCAGGGAAGTTGAAGATCAGCTGAATGTGATTCCTAAATTCTGCTTCCCAGATCCGCAGGACTGGAAGCCCTCCGCCCACACGCCAAGGTCAGCTTTTACACCGCAGTAACACTTAAAGAAATGAACTAAAAAAACCCTGCAACAAAAACACAGAATGCTAATAAAACAGTTTAATGTCTTTTTCCTCATCTCCTGGTGTCTCATACACACCTTTAATGTGATTTAAGATACTCTCCATTATGTTTTTTTTCCAACATTAAGCTTATTACTCCATTCCCTCTTTTTCTTTTTATGTCCTCAGCTGTCAGACGTAATCCCTTAATGTTTCTGCAACCACTCAGATCACCCACAGGGATCATTAAAGGCTGTCTAATTAAATAGTGTAGAGTGTTGAGGGGCATTGGATGTTCTTTTTATTTTCCCAGGGTGTGATTTATCGTCCTGTTAAAAGTTCTGATCTCAACTTCTGATGATGTTTCTTGCTCCTTTTTAGCATAATATTTTTTCTTTTCTTTTATTTCACTTTAATACATTTATAACAGCTTGATTTAAAATAAATTCTTCCTAAAAGTGTCTTCCAATCTATCCCTGTTTATTAACAGTGAGACCTTTTCCTTTGTGCTGACCGGAGAAGATGGGAGCCGCTGGTTTTGTTACTGCCGTAGGATCCTGGTGAGTACGGAAGTGTGCGGATGATGTTTCAGTGGAAGCTATTGCGTCCTGACCTCATGTGATTCTGCGTTTAATGCTGGCAGAACGCCGCGTGCTTACTCACCCTGTCTGAGAAATCTTACAGAATACCACTGAAGGGGTGACATAGAGTAAAAAGAATTTCATAGCTTCATCCTTCGTTCCTAAGAAATTTTGTGGTTTTATTTAGTGCTTTAACCCATCTGGTGTTCTTTACAGATTTAGATTTTCTAATGAATCTGTTCTATATTTAGTAACGGACGAGTTGAGAAACGCAGCTTCAGCTTTCTCCTTTTTAAAAGCCGTATGTTGATATATAAACTGTGCTATAAAAGAGAAGTAAAAAGGGTTGTAACATTGTGGTATTTTATTTTGCAAAACCTGCTGCCTGACTTGTGAAACTTTGTCTTCAAGCCGAGTGGAAAGGGGAAGAGGCTTCCTGAGGTGCATTGCATTGTCAGCAAGTTGGGCTGTTTCAACCTGTTTGCAAAGGTAAGGTAACTCAATCCAGAGCCTTCCAACAGTATTCTTTCTCCTTTTTTTCTTTTTTCTTTGGCATCTTATTACAACACAACTACATATTTAATGTAATTATCAGAGGAACAGTTTAAAACGACAAATGCAAGGATTTTAAATCTATGCAAAGCTGTGTTTGAAAAAGCTGATGATGCCTTAATTGGTATTAAAATGTCTTGAATCAGTGTTTTGTAGGTCTTAAAATTGTCACCAAGTCATAAATAGGATTTATTTTTGTAATTCATATAAGAAATTTAAATAATTCTCAATAAGTTTTTGACATTTACCGACGGCTTCGCTGGAACCATTATTAGTTCCATCCTGACAGCAGAACCAATAAAAACGATGTTGCAAATAGACCTTGGGGTGATGCGGCACTAACTTTTTATCTGGACAATGTGGGGAAGTGTAAATTTAATGCAAATCGGCTATCCAGCCAAGAGTTTTATGCATGGCTAAAAACAGAACCAGGTAATGTATATGAGCAATGGCGTATTTTGAGCAAGAAGTCATTGAAGCTCAGCACAATGGGAATCAAAGCTGTGGAGTCAGACATGTGAAGAGTGAAAAACAAAGCGCTAAAATCAAGTTACAGAGAAGCAGCAGCTGTTCCTTAGTTCTGTTCCAACCTTGTCTCTGCAAGGCCTCTACAGCATCTCCCAACGTCAAATAAAGCACCAGTAGCAGCAAACCTCCAGATTTATCTATTATGGACTTTCAGTCGGGATCAAAACAAAGTTTGTTAATTCCATTCATTAGTTGTTAAAATGTATTTGTTATTAGTGTGTTTTAAATTTGTCCCAGCCAGGTTTCTGTTTATTGTTCTGTTTTAAGTTTAATTTAAGGGACAAAAAAGTCTTAAAAAGTCTTGAATTTAACTTGCCTTATGTTGTAGGAACCCTGAAAAGTTCAATTCAATTCAGTTTATTTCTATAGCGCCAATTCACAGCACATGTCATCTCAAGGAACTTTACAGTTCAACCAGATCATACAGTAAAATTGATTCAAAGTTTTCTATCTAAGGAAAACCAGTTGATTGCATTGACTCATTGACTCAAAGGCAATCCCTCACACTAAGAATGCTTGTAGCGACAGTGGAGAGGAAAAACTCCCTTTTAACAGGAAGAAACCTCCAGCAGAACCAGGCTCAGTGTGAGCGGCCATCTGCTGAGGCCGACTGGGGTTCAATGAGACAGAAGCAGAGACACAAAAAGCAGCTGTAAAAGGCGGCCCCGTCCAGGAAACACACAGCCAGGCAGACGAGCTCCGAGCCAGCTCCCATGTCAGAGGATGAAGAGAGCACATCCAGGCAGTTAAGGTCAGAGAAACAGGACCACACTGGAAAACAGGCCGATCTCCAGCATCTATAAACAAGGGTGTTGATGGCAGCAGCACAGTTGATATTTCTGTCCAGGATGAAGTCACAGCCAAACAGGAACAGACAAGGCAACGCTACTCTGAGGAAAAAGCAGAGAGAGCATGATGTTAGAGATTGAACTAACAGATTCTGCAGAATAGGAGAACAGAGGGAGAATGAAGCAGAATGATAATATGGGGGTCCCTATGTCCTCCAGAAGTCAAAACCTTTAGCAGCATAACTATAGAGATTGCTCAGGATCATTCATTTCAATGAACATGCACACCTGCACAATTATCTGATATAAAAACTTTTTAAATAATTAAGCCACTCTAACTATAAGCTTTATCAAAAAGGAAAGTTTTAAGCCTAGCCTTAAAAGTAGGCAGGTTGTCTGCATCACGACTAAAACTTGTAGTTGGTTCCACAGGAGAGGAGCCTGATAACTAAAAGATCTGCCTCCCATTCTATTTTTAGAAATTCTAGGAACCACTAGTAAACCTGCAGATTGAGAGCGAAGTGCTCTGTTAGGAACATAAGGAACAATCAGAGCTCTGATATAAGATGGAGCTTGGCCATTTGAGGCTTTATATGTGAGAAGAAGGACAGGAAGCCAATGAAGAGAAGCTAGTATAGGAGAGATATGATCTCTCTTTTTAATTTTCATCAGAACTCTGGCTGCAGCATTTTGGATCAGCTGAAGGCTTTTAACTACAGTTTTTGGACTTCCTGATAGTAAAGAATTACAATAGTCCAGCCTTGAGGTAACAAATGCATGGACTAGTTTCTCAGCATCACCCCTGGACAGGATATTTCTAGTTTTTGCAATATTCCTCAGATGAAAGAAGGAAATTCTAGAAACCTCTTAGATATGGGATTTAAATGACAGGGCCTGATCAAAGACTCTGGTCCAAAGACTATAACTTCTGTTTTGTCTGCATTCAGAAGGAGAAAGTTAAGAGTCATCCAGGTTTTTATGTCTTCAAGACATGCCTGTAATTTATGTAATGGGTTAGCTTCATCTGGATTATAGACAGGTATAGCTGGGTATCATCAGCATAACAGTGAAAATTAATCCCATGCTGTCTAATAACTCTACCAATTGGGAGCATGTATAAAGTAAAGAGAATTGGTCCTAGCACTGATCCCTGTGGTACTCCACAGGTAACCTTTGAGTATGTGGAAGATCGGTCATTAAAATGAACAAACTGAATCGATCAGATAAGATTTAAACCAGTCTAGTGCTGTACCTTTAATTCCAACTAAATATTCAAGTCTTTCTAAAAGAATATTATGATCAACTGTATCAAATGCAGCACTGAGATCCAACAGGACGAGCACAGATACAAGTCCATTATCTGAGGCCATGAGAATATCATTATTGACACTAACAGAGCTGTTTCAGTGCTATGATGAGCTCTAAAGCCAGACTGAAACTCTTCAAAAAGTTCATTATGGTGTAAGTGATCTCACACTTGTTTGGCAACTACTTTCTCAAGAATTTTAGATAAGAAAGGAAGATTGGATATAGATCTATTTTGACCAGGTCATCTGGGTCAAGAGACGGTTTCTTAAGCAGAGGTTTAACTACAGCAACTTTAAAAGCCTTAGGTACATATCCCTGTAACAGAGATAGATTATTCACATCTGAAATGGAGGAGATCAAAGGGAATACCTCCTTAAATAACCTGTTTATTCTACAAAGTATTTATGAAGTGTTGGATATAGAGCCTGCTATGGAAAAACTTTCCTTCTACTTCTCAGCTATGCACTGTGTTGTTGGTCTAAAACATGACATTCAGAGGAAAATCATGGTTGTTTGTAGCTTTGATGTCTCAAAATGTGTGAATTACTTTTGCCCTGCATCGTTCGTCTGCACACTTTTATAAATGTGAGCAGGAATAATTAAGTACTGAGACAGTAAAAGTTTGATCAAGCATATTCTTCCTGGGGTCACAGATCCTGGAGGAAGTAGAGCGGCGCAGAGAAATATCCTCAGCGCTGGTTCATCCTTTCATGCGGAGCGTGATGGAGGCCCCGTTTCCAGCCCCCGGACGCACCGTCACCATCAAGAGCTTCCTTCCCGGCTCTGGGAATGAGGTAATGCTGGCATCAGAAAAGGAAGTCTTGATTAGAGGCCATGTGTTTCGTAACCACACCCTCCACAGATCCAGAATGACTCAGGCCACATGTGGAGGCAGTAAGGGTGACTTTTACAGCTTGGACTGGTCTGTGTTGGGAAAGCCATGTGTTAACATTTAACTGTAATCTACTTTGTCATTGCCAGTAACAGAATACATCAAGGAAGTTTAATATCTTCCAATAAAAATGCTAAAAAAGTATCAACTTCTGTCTAATGCAGAACTTCTGGTTTAGTTTTCCAATCAGTCCAAAGATCGTTAACTTTACAGCCAGGTTACAGTCAGTCTTGTTTGGTTGCAGGTCCTCACTTTGTGTCGGCCAGTGGATTCCAGACTGGAGCATGTGGACTTTGACAGCCTGCTGCAGTGTCTCAGTGTCGGGAGGCTCCTGCAGGTGTTTGCTTCCCTTCTGCTGGAGAGGAGAGTCATCTTTGTTGCTGACAAACTCAGGTAACAATGTGGTCATCCTGAAACTAGCAGGTTAATGAGCGACACACAGAGCTGTGGAGAAAGATTTACTATCTTAAAGGGATCCACAGCTAGTTTTTTTTATTTTCACATTTCCTTAACAGTGGCAGCTTATGTTAAATACAACTCATGATTGCTTCAAAAGCAACATTTCCAATTTTTAATTGGATCATTTTTTTCCAATGTTTCCAATATTTCAATTTTCAAATAAATATTTTTATATTTTTCATCCGTGAGGGGTCAGGATTTTAAAAAAATTCACTTTGCATGCTGGGATGATGACACATTAGGTCTCACATGCCGTTTCTCAATATGTGTACTTGTGCGTTCTCGTGTGCTCGTGAAACGTCATCAGCCTCAGCCCTAGTACTGTTCCAATTCACAAGAACACATGACAGAGAACGGACAAAGTCTCTGGATGTTGTTCTCGCCCCTCCTTCTTTACCCAGCATGCATCAGAGCAGACTTGTGCGTTCTCGAGATTGACAGCGTTCCCAGCATGCACCGCTGCTATAGCAGCTTCCAGTGGAGTAGTGGAGTATTAAGTTAAATCTTCTCTTTTCTGTTGCTATTGTTCTACAAAAGTAAGTTTTAAATCATTTGAGGTGAGAACATTATACTTTTAAGCATCAATACGTAGCCCATTCACTGGTTTAGTGCATAATAATAATAAAAAAGAAATCAGATGTTGAGAAGTCCGTGGCAACCAGCAGACATCCGAGGCTAGCCACAACCAAAGGCTAATGTTAGCCCGTCTGCGAAATACCGCTGCTCTGATGACGATTTTATTGTTTTATTTGGAAAATTGTTCATTTGATTTGTGTTTAACTGACTGTGTTCATTACTATTCCCCGACTTAATGAAGAAAGTAAGAGTATATCATTATCTAGAGCAGCGGTCACCAACCTTTTTACAGTTAAGGGAATAATTTAGGGGCACTGAGTCACAGGAAGGGCTACCAATACTGACCTATGAATGGCAAGGGTCAACGTTAACCTAAAGTTCATACATTATAAACATATCTTTATCGTTTCTTTTAATTTCTGATCTTCTTTTAGACATTTTCATTTTGAAATCTCTATAAATGCTTAAATGCCATATATGATTAAATGATGAAATGTTCTATAACTGATTAAAAAAAGAAGAGCAACAGAATACAATGAAATTTCAAATGTAGCTCACTGTTGAGTTGTTCTATTTTCAGAAGACTCTAAGGGCATCCCTTGTGGTCCTTGAGGGCCCCTTGGTGCCCGCGGGCACCATGTTGGTGACCCCTGATCTAGAGACTATTTATAAAAGTACGTGAAATGCAGCTTCTGACTAGCTTTGAATGTGGTGATGTCACAGTTCAGTTTGTGGCTCTTCAGGAACTGGAGCTTCTACCTGTAAAAATGAAATAGAAACATTTAAACAGTTTTTTGCTCTTCTATGATTTATGACATTTAGAAGCACAAAGAGAGATGAGCCAGACATTTTTCTGACTCATTTTTGATGATGACGTTTGATTTACTGCTGTCCTTGTTGCACTGCAGCATCGCCTCCCTTCTAAGACTCCCCACTGCGCTTCTCTACGAGCTCTACATTCAAGATTTACATTTTCTAGGAAATCTTGTACATATTTTTAATCCTAACATCATTCTTTAGGCTATAAGTTCAACCTTTAACAGTAAATTCAAAATAAACCTCTGCAGCAGGTTTGTTAAACTATTGGGAAGTTTTTCTCACAGTTTCTCCTGATCAAAATAAGGCCATCATTCTTATCCAGTGAGTCAAACCCGATGTGTCTCACATGAAACGTTTTAGAAATGAGCTGTTTTTTTGTTTTTGATCTCTCTGTTTCCGCAGTGTGTTATCCAGATGTGGCCACGCTGCGCTAGCGCTGCTCTACCCGTTCACTTGGCAGCACACATTCGTCCCTGTGTTACCAGCGAGCATGCTGGACATCAGCTGCTCTCCGACCCCGTTCCTCATCGGCGTGCTGGCACCGTGTCTGCCAGAACTGCGGGAGCTGCCTATTGAGGAGGTACATCTGTCTGAAGTCTGGGGGAAAAGAAGCTGAGGTGGCTTTCATTTTTTATATAAAAACAGTCCAGTTTTTATATAAAAAAAAACATGGATGTCTATTAATATCATATAGAGAAAAACATTAAGCTTTTTTAAGCATTATTTTTGTTCCATATTGCCCAGCCCTGCTTCAGCGTTCAGTCACTGCTACTCTGACTCACCTCAGCTTTTATTACTGCACCTTGTTTTATACAGTAGCTCGTTATGAAACTGTCGGTAAATGCCGTTCCTCTTTTCTGTTCTCTTCCCAGGTGCTTATCGTGGATCTGTGTGCGGATAAATTTGTCATACAGGTGTGTACACTCTGGTATAATAGGAAAGGAAGGTGCGGTTCCTCTGGGAGAGATGGCTTTGCCTACACTTGTCGCCTGATGGGTGGAGCACCTTAGGGTGACAAAGGATACTGTGCTGCGAACACAGAGACAGCGTAGTAAGAAAACTATACAGGATATAAGCCCAAACAAACATGTTTGAAATAGATCCATAGGATCCTAACTCTACATAAAGTCCTGACTTTAGTCTGTATAGAGAAACATGTTCTCAAGTATCAGTGTTGCTTTTATTGCTAAACGCATTTTTAAACCAAATCATAATGTGTTCATTCATCCAGAGCTTCATACATGATTAAAGTATCCAAATGTCAGCTGTGTGAGACGGATTTGACATTTTTCTGCCTATTTCTGTATTTCCGTTAGCTTGGTGATGAAGATTGCATCCTGCCCAGTAAACTACAGGCAGCTCTGCAGCAGATCCTGGAGGACAGAGAGGATATTCTGAGACAAAGCAATGGAGACACATGTGGAGGTTAGTCAGACTGAAACTGTTCTTCATTAGAGCCTGTTAAAACAGCAGGCTTCAGGGTAAATTTCTACTTTGATTTAAAACAGAGTTGGTGTTTTTGCAAAGCGCAGTAATAAAAAAGATAAAACGTTATCTTTATCTGAAGTGTTTCTGTCTTAATGTCTCTTTTAGACCAGCAGGCCGACCTGAGCTCCCTGGTGTCTGAGGGTTTTGTTCGGTTTTTCGTGGAGCTGGTCGGCCACTATCCTCTCCATCTGGTGGAGGCCCCCAGCGGAAACAAGGAACTTCAGCGAGAGAGCTTTCGCAAATCTCACCCCTCACGCGGCGTGCGGCAGTTTCTGCAGCTCTTCATGGACACGCAGATGTTTGCCGGCTTCATTCAAGACAAAGAGCTGCGCAAGGGAGGAGGAAAAGGTAAAAGCTCGTAACCATCTACTTTATATTTCTCTTTGGCCGGTAAACTTATTTCCCATGATGCAATTTTTTTATCTAAACATGCGTTCATCCAAAAACGGAAGGAGTGCTTTCAAACTGCACACCTATCAGGACAGGACATTAATCAGAGGCCCAGCTCAGAGGTCCATCGTCACACTGGAGGATCTGCAAGGATCCACACCTCATCTGTAGACAGGAAAAACATTTATGCTGTCCAGCAGATGAAACCATTGGTTTATTTATGTCAGTCGACAGCAGCATCATGAAGCGCCTCTTTGAGCATTATTTACTTTAAGAGGAAAGGCAAGGCCTCACCATGAGTGGAAGCGAGCGGTCAGCAGAAAACAGCTCTCAGCACGGCCGTTTTAAAGCTCAGTGCCTTATTTTAGCCATTAGCAGAGTTAGCATTGCTGTAAAAGTTTCTTTGTAGGGTTTTATTTCGGCATAATTGAGGTTTACAGCAGACCTTTGCCATTTTTCAATCCCAGCATGCTCCAGAAGAGCGTATAACTAATTAAATGATAAATACAGCAACTTTGTTGTCATATATTCAGCTTCTTGTTTGCTACTGAAGTCTGTAACCGCCTGAAGGAACAGCAGGAACGTAGAAAACAAAGTTTTAATTTAATCTATGATTTCAAAGTTTTAGCCTGACTAGTTGTTTCTTTTCAGTAACGTATGGATGGTAATTTGCTCAGTTCCAATTTCCACACTGAAGAGTGTTGTTTGCAGTAGGGCTGGGCGATATAGAAAAAAAGCTTATCGATAAAAAAAAAATGCATATTGATCAATAT